GTGGCATGATGCGTCACACGGTGACAAGTGGAAAACTGAGAGAACTAAAAAGTACACTCCTTCTCTCTGCCAGCAGAGCTCAGCAAGCCTTTCAGTGCTTTGTCAAAGGACTGAATCCTCAAAAAGTTACAGAAACTGGATCTAGAGTCTCGTGATACAAGCAAGTGGTTGACAACAGCCACAATTCACCAATCACCCAACAAACAGGAAAGGGGCACTGCGTGGAACTCAGGAAAAGGACACTGAAAATGTCCTTTTGCTATGTGTAGTGAGTATTAATCTACATTTCTAAGTTTTGATAACAAAAGAAATTCTCAGAACTGTAAAGCCACTTACATGTGCCCCATACTAGTTAAAACACCCTAGAATTCTTTATTCTCTTATTTTTTAAAAAAGTCATATGAAATAGCATGCCTCTGGCCTGCTGAGGGGCAGCTTATCTGCTACCAAATCTCTAAAAATTATTTATTGCTTAAAAAGTAAGGCTTAAAGTGGTTAGTGATTTACTGACAAGGAAAGATTGGAAGATGAAGCACTGGGAGACACAAAGCCAGCACAGCAAGGCACAATGACGTCACCAAAGAGGAATGCAGGGCCCTGGGATACACCTAGTGCTGTCCCTGAGTTTATAAAATTTTACAAATGTGGCTCTTGGACACTCTCACTCGCTACACCGGTACGCTCGTGTTTTAGGTGGAAAGCTGAAATGCATACTAGTAATTCAGCATGATTTTAAAACACTTCGTTCCTAAAACAAACGAACCAATTCACGATTAAAAGGTTCTACAAACATCACTTTCTACCCACCAAATGAACCTAAAACTAAGCCCTGTGCATCACAGCTAATTCACTAACAATGTGGCTGTCGGTAAAAATCACAAATCCACTTTCATCTGTGTGCTCCAATTTTTTTTTTCTTTTGGTAGGAGAACAAGAGGTCCTAAATCTTCACGGACTATTGAAGTGTCTTATTTTAACACATAAAACAGCAGCAACACTCTATGAAAAGAACTGTAAAGCAAAAAGTTACTGGCGCGCCTTTTTAGGCCAGCAGTACTTCGATTTATTAGTAGTGAGGTTCAAAGGTCAAAACCAAGAAAATGCCGGACACTTGGCAGGAGGGGCTCGCCCAGCCAGGGCTCACATGACGGCTGCTGATAGGAAAACGCTCAAAAAGAAGGGGGAAGGGCTGGGCAGCTGCCCACTTTTCTTTCTTTATTGCAACATTTGATTTTCACTCAAAAAGAAAAATAAAAGTTAAGATTTGTATAACTCTCAAAGGGGCCTAAAATAAATAAATCCCTCCCAGGCTAACAGAGCCGAGAGGAGGGCCCACTGGAGCATCCTTGCAAAACACAAAAAGCAAAGTACATTTTAACATAAGACTCTGAGGTGATTTTTAATGAAGACAGCTTAATCCCCAAACAGTTCAACATTTGTTTTTTCTGCCACTATATTTACTAAATTAAACACTTCTGACCACAGTGAACACCATTTTTAGTTCTCAGTGTGTCTAAATATTTATTTATAGGGAGACAGTACATTGTCTTATAAGCCATTTAGTGTTGCTAAATTCCTAGAAGGTGGATCAAACCAGTGACAATTTAGTATTTCAAGCTATAAATCAATTCACTACTAAGAGCAAGTTGTGTGTGTGTGCATGTGTGTTTTTTTAAAGAAAATCTTTTATTTAGAAAAGTCATGGCATTTAATTTCTTTACAAATATATATTTTCCATGTCTCCATAAATTTTGTTACATTTCTTAAAATGCATCCTTTCTTATGTATGCAATTCTACATGTGATTCAGAATGATGAGCAAAATTTTTCATGATTAATGTTAGCATTCTATTGACATGAGACGGGAATGTAATAGCCCATAGCTAGATTTAAAGTTGAATTGATGGCACCATTCTGCTTGGGCACATTAGCTGCAATTACCTGCACCACTCAGTCTGAGCCACTAGATGGTGTAAAAAAATAAATTAAAACAGTAACATTTCATCCCAATACCACAAAAATCTAACTAGGGCTCTGAGAAAGGTTCAGAAAACTTCCAAGCACACAGCAGTGTCAGTAATCTCTGGTACACAGCCTTGGTCATACTTAGATCAAAACACAAACTGTTTTTTTTTTAAATGTCTTCACTAAAGTCTTGAGTTCTTAATTTGCGGTTAATACCAACCATTCAAAATTACAGACATCATTCACATATAAAATGCATTTGTGGCATTTACATAGAGTCTGTGTTTGGCAAAGATTGAGAACATGGGAAGACCAAGCCAGTACAAGACAGAGTCTCCAGAGGGTCTGTGCCAGCTAGCCCAAAGCAAGGTGGGGAAGCAGCAGAGTAACCTGCCAGCAGCCAGCCGTGCCAGCCTTTCCCGGTCCAGAGGCTCCAAACTCCATCAGCGCCCTCTCCTCTCATCCTCATCAAGATCCGCCCCATGGCAGGGTTCACACAAAATCACAGCTTTCAGAACTCCAGTAGCACTATCCAGAGCTACAATTATACCGGTTTCACGTATTTCGTTTCCTCCCTTCCTTTCTTCCTTTTCTTTTCTTTTCTTTTCTCTTTTTCTTCCTTTCCCTTCCCTTCCCTTCCCTTCCCTTCCCTTCCCTTCCCTTCCCTTCCCTTCCCTTCCCTTCCCTTCCCTTCCCTTCCCTTCCCTTCCCTTCCCTTCCCTTCCCTTCCCTTCCCTTCCCTTCCCTTCCCTTCCCTTCCCTTCCCTTCCCTTCCCTTCCCTTCCCTTCCCTTCCCTTCCCTTCCCTTCCCTTCCCTTCCCTTCCCTTCCCTTCCCTTCCCTTCCCTTCCCTTCCCTTCCCTTCCCTTCCCTTCCCTTCCCTTCCCTTCCCTTCCCTTCCCTTCCCTTCCCTTCCCTTCCCTTCCCTTCCCTTCCCTTCCCTTCCCTTCCCTTCCCTTCCCTTCCCTTCCCTTCCCTTCCCTTCCCTTCCCTTCCCTTCCCTTCCCTTCCCTTCCCTTCCCTTCCCTTCCCTTCCCTTCCCTTCCCTTCCCTTCCCTTCCCTTCCCTTCCCTTCCCTTCCCTTCCCTTCCCTTCCCTTCCCTTTTCTTTTCTTTTCTTTTCTTTTCTTTTCTTTTTTCCATTATTATTTTGTATTATTTAAAAGGCAGAGAGACGGAAGTCTTCCATCTGCTACAAATGTCCACAACAGCCAGGACTGGGCCAGTCTGAAATCAACAGCGAGGAATTCACCCAGGGCCTCCCACGTGGGTAACAGGGACTGAAGGACTAGGAACATCACCTGTCATCTCTCAGAGTTTACAGCAGCAGGAAGTTAAAATCAGAAGGGCAGCAGGACTCAAAGCGAGGCACCTGATTCGGGAGGTGAACTTCCCAAACTGCGCGTTGACCGCCGTGCCAGCTGTCCTCCCCCGATCATGTTTTGAATTTCATGTAAACAGAGGATGACTTTCTAAAGAGGCAATGGCAGACACACCTCTCTCAACAGCGAGCTGACTGTTGGGGACTGGTGCACCAGGCAGGCTTTCAGTGGCAAAGACAACGCAATCCACACAGAAGAGTCTAAGCCGCCAGGGCTGTTAGTTTGTTTTTGTTATGTTTATAATACGGGCTTTTGGTATGTTTCTGCAAGAAGAGTATAGCTCTGCATGCCACCTACCCTCACAGTCTGAAACTCCAAAAAAGTGCCAATGAACCTCTTCCTTTACACACAGTCGCAATGAAGTAAATTTAACAATGATCCAAGAAAGTTTCTTAGCAAAAACTTGAAATGAATCAATTTTACTTCCATAAAAACAAAAGCTGCTGTTTTAACTCAGGACAAGTTAATGTTCAATAATGCATTCACCCCTTCTGGATTCTTGGTGACTACAAGCCTGCTTTATAATAGCTTCAAAGTAAACAGAAAAGAAGGGAGGTGGGGCAGGAGGAAGGAAAGGAGAGGCAAGAAAGGAAATGGAGAAGCACCAACTGTGAATTGAGCGCCAATTCAAGTTCTGACTCTGGCATTTTCTTGAGTCAAGTCTCTTTTTGTGAAAACCCAAGCATAAATGTTCATTGTGATGATCTCTGAGTCCAGTGTCAGGATTTTACACACCACGACTTAATGCTAAAACGCACATGTGATAGTATTCGAAGCCTCCTCTGCGTGGAACAAGTCGTAGCATGTCTCTGAGAAGTTCAAAGTGTTTCTGTGACCGAGAAAGCACTTTGAGCTCCTAGACTTCTGAGTTATTTAACATTTCCCTATTTACATTTAAATACTATGAAACGCACGTAATTTGTTTCTAAAATAACAGAGGGTGATTTTAATTTTTTTTAAAAGTCTGCATTCCAGTAAGGAAAGTTAAAATATAAAACTTAAAGCAGGCTGCACCAACTATCAGAAGTGTAGCTGCAGTAAGGAACTTGCCTTTTTGATTTAAAGACAGAGAATGCAGTATCTGTAGCCACACAGACATTTTTATACAGGTATATAAAGATGATCGCATGGCAGCATACCTGGCCACTGTGCTTACAAATACATTATGCTAAAATAAAAAAAAATTACCCCAACCTGTTTGAATAGAAAAGCATTGCTTTTAAATTGTCGGAACACCAAAAGTATTTATATAAAGATGAAACACTTGTTCTATAAACACAGCTTCTAGTAGTGAATGGCACAAAAAAAAATCAGAATAATCACACAGAAGAATAAAAAGGAAGAGGAAAGAAAAACATAATAAACAGCCCGATACCTTACAATGTTAACCTTCACGTAAGTATATTGTTTCTGGAGAAGGCTGCAGGTGGACATGAGCCAAGGGCCCAAGTGATAGCTAAACACTGGGGAGCTGAATCCTGTTATCTGATTGTGTTTAGAATGTGATTATATTTCACTTGACAAAATAATTAATTATTGGAAGTTCCCAATTGTTAACAAGGACCTACAAGAATTCCAGCTGGCACCGTTCCCTCGTGCTGCAACCCCAGAGTGTGGACCTTGTGCTGTGTTTCTCCTTCCGGGGCGCCTTCTTACCTTGCTCAGGATGTAGATCACATCACCACGCTTAAATGATAGCTCGTCAGCCAGCGCTCCTGTGCAGTCCCACAAACCCTGATAAAAATTAGCATAATCAGTGCTTTTATCTCCTAGGAAAAAGGAAAGACAAGGGGAGGGGTTAGAACTTTCATAAAGGAGATCTCGATTTTAAAACGAACCGAGAGAAATTAAAGGACCTCTCGAGATGACCAAATCAGCCTAGACAATTCCATCCTGCGTCAAACATTTCCCTGTGTTCATGCAAGAATCCCGTTTCTTCCTGTCATCTAGTTAAGACTGCTTTCCAGCAGATCTGATGGGGCACATCTTCCTTTTTCTTCGGCCTTCCATCTAAACCCTGCGCTTGCAGCGCGCTGTTATCAAACCAGCACCCACAAACTGCTTTCCTACCCAAGCCCTCTGGCAGCGTGTTTTGGAAATGAAGCCAGCCATGCCATGTAATGAGGACTCCTCCCTGAGACGTGACAGACCCTGTGAAATAACCATCCCACAGGAAGGGGAATAGCAATCACAGGGTTAAGCTGCAAATATAAAACAAAAATGAAAGAACCAAATTAGGGGGAAAAAGGAAATCCTAATCCAGCGAGTTCCAGAAGGGGCATGAAGCAGAAACGATGCGAAGGGTAACTGCACTTGTTTCCTTCGGGGGCATCTGGAGTCAAAGCTCCTCCAAGTTACCTCCAAAACCTTGTAGCAACTTTGAAATCGCCTGTGCTGAAGCCGCATTTTTCAGCAGCTTTTTGTCAGCCCCAGTTTGGGACATTAGGCTCTGAATAAACATGCAACATACACTGGCGTTATCAGCTCATCCTTCTAACAGCATAAGCACAATGGATGCGATGTGCTCAAACTGCCATACAGACCATTAACTGATTGATTATTTAGCGCTCCCCGCTCTGTAATACCACAATAAACTCAGTAATAAATGCTTTGTCACTTATACACTGTGGGGCTCCTGAAACACAGCTCACAGAGTTAAACACACTGGCTGCTTTTGTTACCCTGAGAACTGTTTCCTGTTTTTAATTTCATGATAATTGAGTTTTGATGAGTTAACACAAAAAGAATGCAAGTTGTATCAATAAGATGTCCGTGTATTTACCAGCCAGACAGAACACATCGTGCTGATGGCTGCCGTAGCAGGGATGTCATGGGTGAGCTCTCAGGGACGCCGTGGGGACACATGCTGTCCCCTCGGTTTGGCTGCACGGCTCTCGGCCAGCAGGTTTCTTGGCAGGCCTGACACAACGGGTCACACTGGCATGCCATCAGCGTGTTCATCATCCTTTACATGGCTTGTGATTTACATAAAGGGTTAAGCTTATTAGGAAATGTTCAAAGTCTCTTTAATAGCTGAAATGGTGGTAAAAGTAAAAAAAAAAAAGAGAGAGAGAGAGAGACTGAATAACACAGGATCTGAATATTTAGAAAGTTGGGTGCTACTTTTCCATCATGCTTTTGATTATAAACAACGCTAGAAAAGACACAGCCTGGCAGTTTCCCCCACTGTACTTTCTCTTCTAGTTTTCTAAGAATTCAAAAACAGAGAAGAGAAAGGGAGAGGTTAGGAGAGGGAAAGGGGCCGATGGGGAAGGGACACCTTCCTGATTGCCTCACACCAGTACTGGACAACCAGCGGGACCCACACGTGCCTGGGGTCCCAACCTAGAACTACAGGCTTCCCGGCATCTGTGTCGCCCACAGCAGATGTTCTATAAATAGACACTAGAGGGCACTCTGGCTGGCCAGATCACTAAACATTGTTGAAATTTTTTTTTTTTAGAAAAAAAATCACTTAATAATAAAGTGACTGATTTCCTTTAAAAACCACTTATTTAGACAAATAGGGATTTAGAAGTTGAAACATTCTAGTCAGATTAAATCAACTGCTAAATGGGTCAAATGTTGTGCCCCGTGCAGTCTGTCAGTGTCAGTTTAAAAGTCAAGGAATTAGAGCAAAGAGAGGGTGACATCATTTCACATGCAAGGCCCTCCCCCACTGTAACTGGCCAGGAGGTAAACCGATCTAAAAGGCTGCTTCCTCTTGCCAGAGTTCCTGTGTGTTCCCCCGTGCTGTTCGGCCTCAGGCTGGGTCCAAGAGGGCGGGAGGGACAAAAGTTGGGCCGGAAACTGGAGCAGAGGCTCTGGCTTCCCCGTGGGGTCCCCAAAGGTCCACCCCAGCTATCCAGGGTATTCTTGTCATTTGTAGCTACTCTCACCACCATTTTTCATTTAAAAAAGAGAAAAAGAAAATGAGGAAGAAAAAACTGTGCAGTGTTTCCCTAGCATATAATCCTTCCCACTTTGGGGTCTCTCTTCCCCTCGATGCGCTTGGTGAAACTCCCATTAACACTAATGGGAGTTACAGGAGCCCAGGAGGGGACGAGAGACCCCCACTGTGTTCAAGATGCATCTCTCCCTAGATGTGCACCATGAGCATTTCATTAAATCTCACTGCTGTAAAGAGGCAGCCGAACCAGCGACACGGCAATCCCGGGAACGAGACGCACCGTCAACTGTGCTTTCTGTAATCCTGATGATGAGGTTGCCCAAAGACTAACCTCATTTCTGTGTCCCGTAGGTGAGCGCTGTTAAAGAACAATTCTTTCATGTCACACGCCTACACGTACGTGCAATTTCCTATTCTGTCTTACGCAGCATGCAATGCAATGCGGGTTATAAAGCAGAAAAATCTCAACTCGGCAGTCCATGCTGATTAGCCTGGGTCTCCTTAGAAAGTCAATGTTGAAATTCTTGACATGAAATCTGGAGCTTGCATCCATAGAGCTGTCTTGTTCCTCAGGGAGCAGAGGCTACTGTGGTTTGTGTTCTCAGTTTTGAGTATAGTGAAACACATCTCCAAAATGGAACACAGATATGACCTCAAAAGCACATGAGGTCCACAAAAGCTATGCTCACCTCACAATGAACAATCAGCCACGTGGGATATGCATTTTTAAACAGAGTAGAGCGTGGTGTCCTACATCCTAAGATACAGATCATGTGTGTCTTGCTGTCTTCATGATTTAGATTAATTTCCCTATTTTATCCATACCACAATCTATGTTTTCAGAACTCTAGAAAAAAAAAACGGGGGGTCACATTTACCTTATTGCATATTTGTTGTCCTGAGAGGCATGCGTGATAAAAGAAGGCAAGGAAAAAAAGTAATAAACTGTGGAGTCTATGAAGGATTTAAACAATACACTCATTCCTTTTTTAAAAACTTGGTAATGCCAATAGGATTATTTGGAATGGACAAAGTAAACAGAATCAGAGGTACGCTTGCAAAGAAAGAGAACATTTTTAAAATATGATGAAAACAGATGAGCTATACAACAGCAAGATGATGGGGAATCCTTCCCTAGATGCCATAGGTTTAAAAATTAATTTAGATAAGAAGCACATTCTATGATGTTCAAAAAAAAATCACATGAGTTTATTACATACATACAAATGCATCAATATGTTTGGACATGAAGGAATGTTTAAGAAACACAAGATTCATTTTGTTTTGCTTGCAAAATTTACGTGAGAGCAGTCTATGCTTTTTTTTCTTTGCTTTTTTTTTTTTTTAAACCAGTGAATGTGAAAAATACAGAACATTCTTGAGTAAGGTTAGAAGTTCATGACATGTGATGCTCAGCAAAATAGCAGCATGCTTGTCAACTCGCTGCTCTGGGTGGCAAACAAACTTCAGTCTGTGACAGCCTAGGAACAGCAAAGGCCACTGCTATGCCCAAGCATTAGAACTGTTGCTTGAAAAGAATTTCATGACACTGAAGATAAGAACGATTGCAGTGCTTTACGGAGACTGCATGAAAAGTCACGTCTACTCATTGCATTCCTTTGAGCTCAACCAATACTGTTTTTGCTTTTTTTCCCCCTACCCTCAAAGGCAAAGATTCAGTAGATGGTTATTTTTGAAAAATACAAACACTTTAAGCCAAAAATAGCTGTATCCGTGGCAATGATATCTGTAAGTGTTACTTTTTATAACGGCACTAAGATGTTTAAGCAAAGAAAGCTGCAGGCCTTGGGGAGATGCTGTGGAGCCGCCAGCCAGCACGCTCCAGAGCCAGCCAGCTCAGAGAGCTGCGCTTTCCCGGACGCTCAGGCCTACTGATTCCCGCCTCGCTTCCTTTCTGCAAACAGCAAACCCAAACCTTTGCTCCTGCCTTCCTGTCCAGGCCTGGAGTCAGGCCTCTGCTTCCTTTCCATATGTCACAGTAGGAAGGACTCTGGAAAGCGACTTCCTGCACACACACTGCTGTCCACCCTGCCTCTGACAGCAGGCAAGAGTGATGGATGGACGTATCTGAGGGGAAGGTGACCCCAGCTCCAGCCCCTTCTGGACAAGGGATGATACGGCAGACCTTGGCCCAGCTGACACGCGGCTGCCAAGAGGTGTAAAGTCCTGATAAGAAGGCAGTCCTTCTCCTCTTTCTGTGTAAAATAATTGCCGGTTATCAAAACTGACCTCATTCTTGCACTGTAGATAGGGTTTATCTCTTGCTATTTGGAAACAACAACATGCCAGAAAAGTTGTCCCTATGTGTGCTGGCATATATGGCATGTGCAGTTATTTTTCCAGTCCTGGTAGTAATTAGTACTTGGGGCTAGGTGCCAAGTGGCAGTGGATAAAGGGACATCCTTCCTAGCCTCCTAGGCCACCGGTGTCCTTTTCCAATTTTAAGTTGCTGTCGCTGGACTCTGGCATTTCCTCCCCAATTCATTTGCTTTCCCTGTTAATCATATGCAATGAAGATATGCATGGCCAACATTTAAACAGGCTGTGGATCAATTAGCGGTCTTAAGTTTATCTGATTTTTATCAAAGAAGACAGAGCTGTGGGTCGATTGTCAGAACCCGTGTCAAGTTGACCTTTTCAGAGATGTCTACATTGCCAGTCCCCTGGGCAACTTGTTGTCCCCTGTTAGTCTCTGAATGGCAGAAGTCTGTTGTGCTCAAGCACAAAGTATACACAGATGTCTATATTACATTCTTATAGGTCTGACAGCAACTGCATGTTGTATCTATAAACTGTCCTTTAGCTGTGACACTTTCTCAATGATGATAAGCTAATTTATGCAACTAAATCTCCTTCGTGCAGAAATGAAAGCTAATTGAGTCATTACAAAGTAATTCAGGAAGGAATACCTTGTATAAATTGGCTTACTTTATAAATCCTTCTCAAGTGGTTTTCATGCATCCTAAATGGAACAAAGCAGCTGAGCAGCCCTCAGGTACCCCGACTGAACCAGGCCTGCGGTGGCAGGGCCCTGAGTAGGCAGCTTTAGAATGCTGAGAAAGTAGCTTCCATACAAACCCAGGACGGCTCTTCCAGGATGCCTCCCCTGCGGTTACCTGCACCGAGCTGGACACTGTCCTGACTGGCCCTCCTTTCTTCTTCTGTTTTCACTGGAGTGGCATCCTCTTCCTCTTCTGCAAAGAAACAAGATCAATGGCATGAGGGTGGCTTCCTCTGGGACCACACTATAGCACTCACCCACTCTCAGAGCAAAACTACAAGCTCAGAGGAATGGGTTTCAATGACTGAAACCACTGCTTTATTTCCACAGTCCCTTTTCAATAACCCAACATGGAACAAGCAAACTGCTGGCTATTTCTAATTAGCAACCTGACCCGTGGAATGGGTCAAATTTAAGAAATGTACTAGTGTGCAGCACAACTCATCTAGAAGGACTTTAACGCTGGTCAAATAATACCCAGGCTTCTACCAATATCATGAATTGTGGCGGGGTCTCATAGACAAAAATCAAGGTCTCCAAAACACTAACACAGCAAGGGAAGAATATGTCATATAAAATAGAGTTCACCTATAAGTCATTACTTTTTTTTATTATATATAATTCCTCAATTCTAATTCTACAGATAAGTAAATTGAGACTTAAGACTGTAAAGTAATTTCTGAAGTGTGTCGTTCCGGCTCAGGTTCCTGACTGTCAGCGTACTTTAGCCTGCAAATCGTCACTGCTTTACCTACATCTTGTCTCCATTCTCCCATCCTACTCCTTCTGCAAGCTACGGGAATGCATGCGACCAAACTGCACAAGACATATTTTAAACAAAGTCAATAGACTACTTAAATTTTTTTCAAAATATGACTACATTACCACTTCCCCAAATAAGGGTTTACTTAGGACCAATTTATAGAGACTGATGGTGGGAGATACATATAAATATCATGCTGGAGAAAACCTGTGTTCAAAAAGAATCATAATTTCAAAAAAAAAAGTTCACAATTTTACATAAGCAAAGGTGTGATGTGTAGAACAGGCACTGTGACATTCTTTTGGACTAAAGAACCCGGTATTCCGAGGGGAGGGGCAGGAAGGGTGACGTCAGTAGTCAGGGCCAGCAGCGGCTCCAGAGCCAGGAAGACCTCGTCCTGGACCTTGAGGGGATGTATGCTGGGTGGCCAGTAAGGGCCCTAGCAGGCCTGAGCAGAGAAACAGGGCCCCAAGTCTCTGCTTTAGCAAGGGTTCTTTGACCCCATTGTTTCAGACCGACCGGCAGACAGACAGGCAGACCACTCGCAAGCCTAGATAATGGGGAAGGAAACCCTGAAACATTAGGGCAGAGGAAACAGGAACAGAGGTGGTGAAGAGAGGTGAAGGAAATCGCCTCGATAAGCTTTGCGCCTGAGCTGTGGAGGGAACAGAACAGCCAAGAATGGCTCAGAGTATGGGCTTAGTTAACTGACAAATGGGTCTATGGTTCCTAATAACATATAGCCCACATAGAAATGGATGAATCATCACCAACAGGATCATAACCAAGAGAAGCTCGTGGAAGGAATACCAGGAGTTATTTCTCCCAGGAAGCACTCCATGTGTTGGTGGGGCAGTCCCAACAGAATGCCCAGGCACAGCGCAAGGGCTGGCAGAGGGGGTGCACTGTGGCTGCTGGGTGGCCAGTCCCCTGCAAGCACTGAGTGGTGAGAAAAAAGCACTGACTTCAAGCTGTTTGTTGAGTTACCGTATCTACCACATCATCGCCAATTTAAACCCATCATCAAAGTGACAATATAATGAAGAGCTGGAAATATTCTAGGGTGTTATATATATTGAGTCCAACACTGGCAATTTAATATGGCCCAAATGATAATTAAGGAATAGAACCCCAATAAAAAAATCGAACACCAAGTCCCATCTCTTTAACCACAGTTACCACACTTAATGCAAACCTAAAGATTTAGCTACCATCATCCAATCTGGATTGGGCGTTTTCTTTTTTTTTTTTTTTTAAAGATTTATTTTTATTATTTTGTTATTGGAAAGGCGGATGTACAGAGAGGAGAGACAGAGAGGAAGATCTTCCATCCGATGATTCACTCCCCAAGTGAGCCGCAACGGGTCGATACTACGCCGATCCGAAGCCAGGAGCCTCTTCCGGGTCTCCCACGCGGGTGCAGGTTCCCAAAGCTTTGGGCCGTCCTCGACTGCTTTCCCAGGCCACAAGCAGGGAGCTGGAAGGGAAGCGGGGCTGCCGGGATTAGAACCGGCGCCCATATGGGATCCCGGGCGTGCAAGGCGAGGACTTTAACCACTTGCGCCACCGCGCCGGGCCCGATTGGGCGTTTTCAAATAAATTTTAAATATGGAAGAGACAACCAATTCATTTTATAGACTGTTAATTCTCCAAAAGGTAGAGGAGAGACTTTTCCTAACTGTTCACACTTTCTCTTTCCCTTACACGTGGTCCTCTGCCAAGCTGGTTATAAATTCAATGCTAAGGAGCAAATGAAAAAAGTGCTTACTGGCCCCTGTCCTAAGTCTGAAGCCATAATCCCATCAACAGAGCAAGTAAGCACTGCTGGAGAATTTTAATAAGAGAATGTAGGTATGATTTAAGCTCAGTAACCAGAATCAGCATCAAAATATAAAAATGGGGCCCACTGTGATGGCTCAACTGGTTGATCCTTTTCTTGCGAGCACAGGGATTTGATATGGACACCAGTTTGTGTTCTGGCTGCTCCACTTCCCATTCAGCTCCCTGCTTGTGACCTGGGAAAGCAGAAGAGGATGGCCCAAATACTTGGGATCCTGCACCTGCACGGGAGACCCGGAAGAAGCTCCTGGCTTCTGGTTTCTGATTGGCTCAGCTTTGGCTATTGCAGCCATTTGAGGACTGAACCAGTGGATGAAAGGTCATTTTCTCTGTCTCTCCTTCTCTCTGTAAATCTATCTTTATGATAAAAATAAATATTTTTAATAAAAATATGAATATGAATCCTAATAAGCCAAGAAACTGCTCCTTGCCTAAGTTATCAGTGAATTTATAAGTATTACCAAAACTAAATGCCTGTTTTGTGTTAGAGATTATATATATGGGAGTCAAAGAACTCCGTATTTAAAAAGTACACTCTTAGATGACCAGAATAATGGTATTTAAAATATTTACTTAGGTATATCAATATTTGTTAGTTATTCAAACTGAAATTCACAGGAGATGCTATTTAACAGACAGTAGTTTAGAAATCACAACGCTCAACACTCCTTTTTCCATTTCAAACCAAATAGTATTGTTCGCAGGCCCAAGCTTTATGTATTCCACACATCAATTTTTCTTACAATTCATTTTATCTTGTATAACAACACAAACAATTCCCACAGAAAAGACAACACAATCAAACTTGGCGTGTGCTTCTAAATCCCAAGGGGAAGAAAACTCAGACAGAATGTTGACTGGAACCTGGACAAAGATGTTTAATCAATCCCATGTGAAAAAATGAAACTTTGAAAATAATGAAAGTAAATCCTAACACATTCATTTATAACAACAAACTTTATGACACCACTGAAAAGAAAATATGTAAAGACAAGTAACCAAAATTCTAGGCAATAATCACCTTCATAACAGAGTAGAAAAAATATGCTCACATGTTGTTTCATTTAGGTTTATATCAAACATATTTTATTTTGGTGCCAAGGCACAATGTCATTATACAATACTAATTAATACCTCAAATAGTCAATGTTTGTGAGTTAATATAATCCATTCAACATTTTAATAACAGTAAACAAAAACAGCTCAGCTATGCAGTAAAATCCATCAAACCACACAGATGGTTGTAAGGTTTTCATTATGTGGTTTCCATAGCAATCATATTGCAAATCTGGAAGCTTCTTGCAAATGAGCAGCTTGTATTTACATGCCTCTCAGCTGCAGCACAAAACTCTTCAACATGTGAAGTTATTATTCCAATCACACATTGCTACAAGAATCATCAGGAGATTTTTTTTTTATCAGACAAGATGAAAACCACAGTGAAGTGAACTAAATGGAGAAGGTAATCCTAACACAGTGTTATAGGTTCACTAAGATAATCAATGAGTATTGGAAATATTTTGGCGTAAGTCTTCAAAGGGCTTTAACATTAAACCCTGTCACATTTATGGAACTGCAGTACAATCAGGCCCTGTGCAGTCTGAAACTCACTGTGCCCCATCTCTCCTATGGATAGCTAGCTGACCTGCTTTGCAAGTTGAGCAGATTCCAAGGAATAGCAGGTAATGGAGTCTTCCCAAATCTTTTTAGGAAAATCCATTTGAGGAAATGCTTACTGTGGGGAAAAGTCAACACTTTTTTTTCTCCCCTTTTAGATGAATCAATTTAATTTACAAATTGATCCAATTCCTTAGCAGATGGATTATTACCTTAATAAGCACCAGAAAAGTGTCTAGCTAGGTAGTTTTTTCTTTTCTTTTTTTTTTTTTTTACTAAATGATCATTTCTGCTCTTATTTTTATAATAAGCAAGAAGAGTGACAAACAGATGACACATTTGGCTTATGTTGCTTGAGAAAGGCTAAGCTCAGTTAGTCAGTTCCGAGTCGGAATGCATGATGCTCACACTGCAACTGAGGGCTGATTTTTACCAGGGAGAAGAGAAATATCCTGCAAGAAAATACCTGACTCATACTCATTCCCTTTTTCATGAAACACCTTCAGAACACAGCCTAAGTTACAAAGTATTTTCTTAAAAAACACAAAGTACAGAATCAAAAGTTATGCTGTAAAGTAGATCTTGGCCTAAGCTTCACTGGATTATGTGAATGAATTCAAGCAAAGTTAATATTTATTGCAAGAAGGTTGTAATTGAATCCTCTTAACAATTATATAAAGGCACTTTTGTCATCATCATTTTATGAACACAAAATGAAATTTATGGAGCTTAAATAACTAGTCCAGGTTCGCACACCCAGACAGAATGTGGGGCAAGATTTGACCTTCAGGCCTTATTACTAAGCCATAGCTTTAAGCGGTAGTATGTCTTCCTTGGTTTTCATGAACATCTTCCATTTATAGGCAGATTTGCTTTGTTTTGTCATAACGTGGCTGTTCAGGGTAGGTCAGTTTAGTCTGGCAGTTAAGATACCTGCACCTTGTATCCAAGGAGCTGGGTTCAATACTTATATC